AAAAAAAAAAAAAAAAAACACATCTTAGTAAAACCAATACCTTCTCAGCTTCGCATCGAAGCTAAAAATTGAGAAAGTACTTTAATAATCTTTAAATATAATGTAGATTAAATAATTAGTACTATTTTACGCTTATAATTACAATTTCGGCCTCTAATCAATTTGGATCACTTTACGTTTTTTACACTGTTACCTCAACCCAATAGCTTTACAAATTACAACTTACATGATGGTTAAAGTAATACAAAAGTTAAATGAGAGTTGTTGTTGAATTTTACATATAACTATATAAATTTGACCAACTATTCTTATAAATTTTCCTAGATTGTACATTACTTTACACAGATTTATCGGTATTTTTTATTAAGTTTCAACGCCTGTCAGTTAACTATATTACCACACATTACGTGTTAGTTTTAACCTAAAATATTTTATAGCAAGGAAAGTTCTTAAAAACGAACCTGTTCAAATTCACCATAGAAAAATTTTCTTTTAAAAAAAATTACAAAACTACAACAATCAAGAAATATAAAAGTATTTATTATGTAATAAAATATTACATTAATTATTATATAACTGTGGTATTGACCTTATTTTATTAAGATTTTTCGCGATAAGAAATAATTAGTTAATTAAGGATGGTAAAAATTCTAGACACTAATTTTTAAAATTTAAATGATAAACACTAGACAACTTTTCAATGAACGAACTAATAACATTCACGTTCAAATATCAAATAATAACTAAATTTACGTTCAAGTTCATATCCTTAAATTTGAATGTGTTCACTCTCATCATTCTTTTACAGTTTATAAAATTATTACTTTTAATTACTATGGACACATTATTCAGTGACATATAAATTAAAAAATCCTTTTAGCATTTCACAGTGTCCCGCGATCCACGACTCCTTTGTCAGCCATCGCACCATCACGTGTATATCGCAGTTTGACTGACCAACGCCGTGTCCCGCGGGACAAAGTCCGACAAGTGCCGCTCAGCCGACTACGATCCGCCGGTAATGTATGTTGAAGTCATCTTAGTGACACCTTACGAAACGCATCGTTTCGTCCGATGTCTTTTTCTCCGCTTTGACACATCTCATCGGTTGACATCATCACAACTCATCACACTCATCGATTATTGTTTTATTAGTGTAACACTTTGTTTCCTGTACTTTGTGCGCTATACTTTTTTGACATTAATTAAACGTCACTTATCGAACATACGAAGTTTTTGTGACGAATGCGTTTTGTTCAATCTTCCCTCTCGTTTATATCACGTTCAAGTAAAAAATATTAGATACAACACTTGTGAACAATTTTTTTTTTTTATTTGTTTTCTTAATATTTGTATAATGATTGTAGTTGAATATAAATGATCTGAATAACTATAAATTTTAGAGTTGTTTGATTGTAAATCATCTTGATGGACTAAGTTCAGTTTATACTTAACATAATGTTTTTAATGTAAAACACGTATACCCTTGTTCTGTTATTTATCAGATTAATATTGCGTACACAATATTCTTTACGCGTTGTAGGTGAATTCATAAATATTTAAAAAATAACTTATTACATATTATGTATTGGTGTGTGTGTATATATATATATATATATTTTTTTTTTTTACCGCCAAATAATTGTACTTATTTGTATTACTATCGTATGTTCTCTTACATGGATATCGTACAAAAACGAAATATAGTAAGGATTTAAATAAAGTATTTTTATATCACTAAATATAAAAACGACATAGTCATGACAGATAACTATTGCAAAGTGACTGAGCTAGAATATGAAGAAGACAAAAACACAGCTTATAATTAGAGAAAGAATTATATCAAACTGATAACTTCCATAACCTTTGATCTTGTTGATTTTTTAATAAATATTGTCTTTTTAGATTACATTTAAAGCATATTAATTATTGTTTATTACTAATAAATAAAAAAATAATAAAAATAAAATGTTTTCATGATATCAAAATATGTTATGAGGTAGTGAATATGTTGTGATAATGGGTGAAGCTCGTACTAGTGTATATTTATAAAGCATACTCTACCTGTGCTACATACCTACTCTATGTGTTGAAACACTTGCAACTTGAGTACTTATCATAAAGTTGTTATTGAAAATTGAATTTTTTTGTAAAGAAAAATGGTGAAATTTCGAAAAAAAATATACATATTTGTATTTGTATTTTTTCTTATAGTGATAAATAATAAAATATATGCTCTAAACATGGTGTACGAGGACAATAACTCTTTAAGAAGATTTCAACAGAATGATTAAAAGTTTTAGAAGTTGTCACTTAGATATGATATACTTTGTATATACTGACAAATTATAATTTGTCAGTATATACATATTTATGAATTTGATAATTATCAAATTCATAAATTAAAATTAAATGTCTTGAGAAAACTTTTGGGGACAATTATTGGTTCTATCGAAGTTTTTTATTTGGAAAATTTTGCTTTCAATCGTAATAATTTTTATTTTTTAGACTTAATAAATAAACTATGGAAGACATAATTCTCGATTCAACACACATTTCAAATGATGAACATTTAATGGTGAAAATAACCAATGCGTTTAAAAAATACGATACGACTACCGTTTTAAATGGATTTAATATGAGTGTTTCTAAAGGTGTCATGTATGTCTATACCTCTCAAATATACTATTCTGAACTTGAGAAATTTTCTATTTTATTACTTAATAGTATAAATCTTTTCAGATATGGTTTATTAGGTCCTAGTGGTTGTGGAAAAACAACTTTATTATCATCAATTATTGGACGTACTCGATTGAACTCGGGTCAAATAAGATTGGGAGTAAAACGAAAGAAACAAATAGGATACATGCCCCAGGCGAGTAATCTAATTAAAAACATATTTTTGAGAATTTGTTACCGAAAAGCTAATATGTCACAAAAAGAAGTTTATGAGATTTTTTATCATATATATAAAGAAGAATATTTTCTTTCATAAAAATTTACAATTGATCTAACTTTTGGAAAATAACTACAAAATTTAATCTATTCATAATTCTGTAAATATTATCCAAAAGTTTTTTATATAAACAAACTTTTTTGGAGTGCAAAAAATATAATTTAACGATAAAATAGTCATATTATTTTTGGTAGATGGCAGATATTAATCTTTTTTACATATATCATCAATATTCTCAAATCGAATTTTTGTACATTTTTTTTTTTTTGGCTTTTGGATACAAATTACGATGTTATTTATTGAATTTATTATATTCTCACGAATAATTTTTCAAAATTAAATTATAATTTGAATTAATATTTTATACATTTTTTGATTAAAAATTTATCTATTTATCACAACTATTTGCTTCAGGATTTAGCACTTTACGATGAATTTTCAATGTTAGAAACATTTCATTATTTTGGTTCATTATATGAAATGTCTTATGATGAAATTATTGACAAAGGAGAAAAATTATTAAATTTTATGGAAATGCCACCATTTACCACACAGTTTGGAACAATGAGGTAAAATTAAATAAAAAAAATTATCTTTTACCATTTTTAATAATAATTTATATAGTGTACTATAAATTAAATTTGCAAATTTTGAAAAATGTATGTCTTGTAATAGAGTTATTAAAATTTTTAATAGCGGTGGACAACAAAGGAGATTTTCTTTATGCGTTGCTCTCTTACATGATCCAAGTCTTTTAATATTAGATGAACCGACTGTTGGAGTGGATCCAATAATAAGTGCAAGGTGAAACATATTTGTTTAATATAAATATTTCTATATTATGGATCTAAAGCGAAAAATCTAGAAAAATGTAAAAATCGTTTATACTTTTTAATTAACTTCTAGAAAATCCAATTCCATCATTAAGATGGACATTTATTTTGAAAATATGTAAAATGTTCTCACATCAATGGTTTAAAATTAGATTTATTTGAAATTAGTTCAGAAAATTTACTTTTTAATGTTGAGTCTTTTAGTCCAAAGTCAAAGAATTGTAACATTACTTTATTTTACAATTAAAAGGCAGTATAAAAAAAAATTAGATGTTTTTTTATCTTTATTTCAAGTATTTGGACATATTTGCAAGATTTAACCAATCGTGGAAAAACCATAATTATAACTACGCATTACATCGAAGAAGCACGTCAAGCTAACATGGTTTGCTCTTTTAAAATAATAGTTACAATAACATAAATGATTTATTACATTACAACATAACTATATTTTAGATAGGATTAATGAGAAAAGGAGTTCTATTAGCAGAGGCTTCACCTTTAGACATTATGGAGTCATGTAATGCTGATACATTAGAAAGTGCATTTTTAATACTCAGTCAAAAACATTCAGCTCATATGGTATATAATAAACATTAACTTCTTCGTGTAAAAACAATTAATTTAACTATTAAACATACATAATATATTACCATAAGCTTAAATAAAAGTTAGTACGTTAACACAAACGTGTAAGTATTTCACGTTTGTAATGAGTCATGTCAACATAATTTATATCAATAGTTAATAGGGAAAATGATTAAAATAAAATAAACACTAAAATTTAGGAAGACATTCCAGAGTACATGTAAAAATTATTTACCTTTAGTTATAATCAAGTAATCTAAATCTACCTAAAATCTTAAGTTGTAAATTAGAACAAGAAAATCTACTCTCCTTTCAGAAATTTTTTCTTTACAATCGAAACCACTTATACTGCGTTAAGTATAAACTAATGTTATAACTTATAGCTAATGTTTTCGATTTCTGAAGAAATTTATTTAATGCTTATTGTCCAGTGGAAAGAAAACGAAAATTAAAACATTGGCACACAATTATGCATGACGCGTTCCCTACTGAGTTATTACACAGTTTGTCTTAAGATAAGCTCAATAATAAATGGAATTTATTTAAAGTTTATTTTTATTTTTGTTTAATAGTCTACGGAAAGAAAAATATCAAATACTCCTCAGTCTTCAGCAACAACAACACTTAAAAAATCGTCATTTTTTTCTAAGACTCGTTTCAAAGCTCAATTATTAAAACATTGGTATTGGAGTGTCAGGAACTGGAAGTTTGTACATTTAGATCAGTAAAAGTTTCCGTTATTTTTTTACTTAATTATTTATTTATGTTATAAATTAGAATTATAGGTTTCGTATGCATTTTACCGATTTTTACTCTACTTCTTTTCAACACCTTGATTGGTCAAACTCCTGACCCATTAAACTTTGGAATTATCAACAAAGAAATCAATAAACATACTTGTCAAAAAATTCAACTAGAAGAAATGTGTAACGATCAAATTCCTTTAAGCTGCAAATATTTGTACCACCTTAAAAATAGCGAAATAACTTTGGTATTTACCATTTTTACAACTATAAGATGATTAATGTTCTAATATACTTTAACTTTAGTATCTAACATACTAAGAAACTTCTTATAAACTATAAAAATTTAATACAAAAATACAAATATAAAATATATATACAGGAAACAGGTCAATTTTTACGATAATGAGAAAAATAGAAACCCGTTCTCTTACCGACTGAACACTCTATATGTATAAATATANACCTTAATTTTCAAAAGGGAATATATATAATCAACTAACTTATTTAATAGATAATGATTTAATTAAGAAAATGATTGATCTATAAAAAATTTTGGTCCAGTATTTCATAAGTTATTAAAAATTTAAAGTAATAACTAGAGGCAAGTAGTGGGTGTTGCTATTTTATCACTAATCATTTCCCGGCCGTACTTTACCTTCCATATAGGTATAAAAAAGTTAATAACTTCTGAAATATTGTTTAAATTAAAGTTGTTATAAACCAGTCATTTTTTAATTTTACCATTATCATAACCAGATTAATTATGTACGTTGNTTTTTAATTTTACCATTATCATAACCAGATTAATTATGTACGTTGCTATTGAAAAATAAAGTTAACATCCTTATAAGATATAGGGGATGAAAATAAGAATTATTTTATGACAGATAAATGGCGATACATATGTAACTAACTAAAGTCAAAAAAAAAAGCTATACAAAAAAATTATCATTTTAAGAAAAGTTGAATGAGTGGCTAATGATAAAAGAATCATTTAGGAAAATATGAGAATTTAAATCACACATGCCGTGATTTCTGCTACTACTTTTTATTAATAAAACTTTCATCTTCGAGTAGAAATATTATGATGATGAAGAGTTAGCCAAATCAGATGCATTATACAACAATATTTGGGGTTATTTATTATTTTCAAATAACTTCACAAACTTAATAAATAAAAGATACAATGATTCTTTTGGTATGAGTTCTGAAGATTTTGAACACATGACAATATCATCGTCAATAGATATGTCTGGTAACTAGCTACTTTTAATTCTGATTGTAAATGTTTTTAATAATTTATTTTTGTCGTCAATTTCAGATTTTATTACTAGTAAACTAATTCAAAGTAAATTAATTAATGGTTTTGAGGAACTTAGTAAAGCATTCAATCATTGTAATTCTACATCAGTGCGTTATATTGATCCACGACCTTTTAAAGTAAAATCACTAGTTACTATTATACATGTAACTATTTTACTGAATTGAATAAATTGTATTAGTATTTATTAAAATCTAGATAATGGAACCAGTATTTGGTAAATTAAAAGTGAATATAGTTGAATATGGAACACCAGCAATAATATCAATGTTAGTAAACCAAAATTGTTTTAATACTCATATTAAAAAAGAAAATAATTTCAACGAAATTATTAAGACATATAAACTCACTGTATACTAAAATAATTAATCTTGTTAATTCAATAATAAGCTCTCCGTTTTGAAACAAAAAAACTTTTTAATAAAGTATATAAATTCGTAATGAGCAGTCACGTATCGAAAAGACGCATAACAAAAGTGACAGCACTTAACAGTCCTGACATTCATTGTTTTTCATTTTTATATACTAATGACCTAATTAATATCACAAAAAAAAAACGTATATTACATCTTTCGAACACCTGGAAATATTTATAAATTAATAATTCTTATTCACGGTTAAAGATGTTAGCAAACCGAACAAAAGATGATTTTTTATTTTTTTTAACAAAAGTTTTACTACTTATATGTTAATATAAGTAAGTAATATATTTAATATTCCTCATAATTTAGTTAATTAATTTTGTTTAGTTTATAATTTATACACAAAATAACTATTAATATTAATATTTTTCTCTCGCAAACGAATTTTTTTACAAGTTAAAACTAAAAAATAAACTAATTATAGTACAAACTAGTACTAAAGGCAAACGTCTTTTTTTTGAAAACAGTACAATTTTATTGATACAGGGTATTTTAAATATTTTTTGTTATGATCGTTAAATCTTGTATTATTTTTAAATTAATTGTAAC